TGCTTCTCCCTTCAAGAGAAAGGCGATGGGCGGTGGGCATGGCTCTTCCAAACTGGTTGACAGGCCAAATAGGAAGGACTGGAGAGCCATGTCTGACCCATGGCTGGAGGTTCCACGCCCCTGGTATAACAATAATGCTATTCTTTAGCAGGTAGTCATTATATAAAACAACTAAAGTTAGTGGTAATGTTTTACAGTAATCTAGTCTGTTTTCCATTTTTAAAACTTTATAGCAAGCAAGAAGCCTAGAAAAGTCTTTCTCATCTGCAGATTCTCATGTTGGAGTTTGACGTGCCAGTAGATAATGTCAAACCAACAGGCTGGTCAGATTTAATATACGGGGGAAATGGAATCTATACCCAAGATGTACAAAATGGGGGAAATATATAGAAAAGACTGTACACAATGCATAAATGTGATTTAGAAGAATAAATTAACAGGCATTGCACTCTTATTATTTCCAGCTTGTCACAAACAAAACACAGAGATCAGCCTTCCTCAAACCATTCTATCAGGTTTTCATCAGCTTGCCCCACTTTTCTTCCAAAATCTTATCCCAGTGCATTTCACTCCACTGTATAAAACAAATTGCAATGAGATGTCCATTTCTTTCCATGCATATTGTGTGCTTAAAAGTTCTGCATCCCACTGAATGGGGAGGGGAAAAACTATTGCCAAATATAATTGGTGTGTGGGTGTGGGTGTGTAATATTTGTGTACATATTCCAGAATGTATTCCTTGAAATCCAGTGATTTCAATGGGGGCCCTACAAGAGTGACTTAGTAGGGTATTATCTTCTGTGACCAAGTCAAGAACTGGCAACTACATTAGGCATCTAAAAGATAATTAAAGAAGAACCCTTAGGAATGAACACCAACACATGCCAGTCGGTATTCAAATTCAATTTGTTTATTTAAACTACATATATGCTGCAAAGCCCTCCCAGGGCAGATTAAAAAGAAAATTGGATTCACTTATGTAGGATAATTTAGCTTTATATGGTTAGCAGAAACACTGTGCTTTCAAATGATTTACAGTATTAACCACTTACAATGCGTCTGATCCTCCTTTTACCATTCACCTTCAATCAGTTTATATGCCACATCCTCTATTATCAGCCGCCACTGGACATAACCTTTGGAAGTTTCAAGCTTGTAAAATAATATACTAGATGACAACCAGCATTTTAAAAATCCACACATTTGCTTGTCTAAAGCAAATAACTCTTCCTGAGACAAGAATGGTAACAAGAGCACCTTTTCTAACTGAACTGTTCTAAATATTCCTCTTGTATTGACTCATTCTAAATCAGACAAGGCTATCTCCACATATATCTATTTCCCTCGGTTTTATACAAATGCTGGTTATGTTGTTCATAGACTCACTCTGAAAACACACACACATACTGCACCTCACTGATGGTAAAACTAGAAACAGATATTTGAAAGCCTTACAGCAAATGCATGCTACTGCAGAACAGTGCACTACTGTATTCACACATTTCAACTTAATTATATATCTCATGCCCAGTGCTGCTGGATAAAAGCAATAGAGACTTCAACAAAATAGTTTTCTGAATGGGGTATCTGACCAATGTTTTCAAAGATACATTCCGAGCATGATATTTTTGAACACTGGTATTCGTAAACAAGAGACCTCTGTATGTGCATTGTTATGTTCAAAAGAAATCTGTTACATTATTACCTAAAGCCAGTAGGATGCTAATATAGATATATATTTGCTGTTGTTATTATTAAGTTGACCATGCCTACAATCAGGTTTTTATCATCTATTATAGAATGTCTAGATTTAGCTTTATTTTTACATTTGCTTCACATATGATGGAACATCTGCAGTATAATGATCCAAAGGTAGTATCAGTGAATTTTTTTGCAAATAGGCCCTTGAGAAATGTTTTCTCTTTTTTTAATACACAGTTTGAGACATCTATTTCCATCTATTTTAAAACCTAATTTACAGGAAGAAGCAATTCAATGCAACTGAAGTACATTATGCAAGATCCAATATTGGCAGATCACATTTCAAATTCTTTAAAATAAGAGCACTACAGACACTTAGTCTCTGCAATTCTCAGACTCTGCAAAAGATTAGAAAAAGCCTAGAAATGTAACAAAATATTACTAGGGATCCTATTTTCATATAAATATTTTATGCTTTATAGATTAAAAAACTTACGAGATACCTCTATCACCTTATTGTCCAACACTGGCTTTCAAAAGTTCTTATGTACATGAATTATTTAAAAGCACTCAAAATAAAATGTCAAATTCAATACCTCATATTTGCACTATTTTTAATTTGAAACTAGTACAAAATTATGTAAAATGCCAGAAATTAACAGCTAAAAGAGTTAAAGGCAGTTGAAAGAACTGATTTAGATCTATCACTATAAGCTTAGTTTCATTTAAAATTAGGCATTTAGACCATTTTAGATTACTACCATTTTTGCATTGTAGATTGCATTGCAGTAGATTTTATACATTTGGGAAGCATGTGTATGCTTTGACTACTACCAGACAGTTAAGGTCTCTAGCTAGATTTAAGAAATAGAGGCAAAAATTAATGAAGTAGTTATGATCTCTCATAGCACCACCTATTATAACACATCTAGAGAGGAAGAGAGGTCCTTTCTTACTTTTACATGTCCAGAAGAAAAGCATTACAACTCTTCATCCCATCTTATATTTCTTTCTTGCCCACTTCAGTTATACTGGCTGTATACAGTAGTAATTATTATTATTATTATTATTATTATTATTATTATTATTATTATTGCCACCCATCTGATTGGGTTGCCCCAGCCATTCTGGGAGGCTTCCAGCAAATTATAAAACCACAGTAAAACATCACACATTAAAAACTTCCCTAATATTTTACTGCACTTTATAGCAGCAGTCTGGCAAATATGAAGAACAATATTCATATTATATGATCTAAAGAACAAGAGGCTGCCACCTTGCTGAAGCTAAGGCAAAGGCCATAGCTCAGTAGTACAGCATTTGCTTTGTATGCAGGATTTCCCAGGTTCAATCCCCAACCTCTCCAGGTAGGACTGGTAGAACCCTGCCTGAAATCCTGGAGAGGGGCAGTGAGTCATTGGAGAGGATTGCTACTGATCAATGGTTTGACTCAATATAAGGCAGTTTCCTATGTTCCTAAACTGAACAGGTCTAATGTCTGGTCAGTGCCAGGATGGATGATCACTTGGAAATCACATGTACACTGCCCTGAATACAGGATGGCAGAAAAGCATGATATAAATGTAAGATGATAATGAATAAAATAAGCAATGTGCTGAACAGCAGCTATGTTGAGGCTAAAGCCAGAGTAAAATAGCCCCCAAATTTGGATAGAAACACAATAATAAAATAAATAAATTAAAAGGGTATTTCCCAGTCCCCTCCTCCATTTTTCACTGAAACCTTATTACACTAGAATAGATCACAGACTTTTGCTCTCTGTTAATTAGCCGAGAATAAATACCATCTGCTGGTTTGGTATTCAGAACCACTAATGCAGATTAAGATTCCTACTTCACTCTCAAAGGTAAGGTGAGGGGGGGGCGAGAAGGGGCCCTCATACTTCTAACCACTCCTTAGTCAAAATGTGGGTTGATGGGTCAGGAAAAAGGAAGTAACAAGTTTGCATCTTACGAGACAGAAGTTGGGAATTGCACAGATGGGGTGGGATGAGTTAGGAAACGGGGGGGGGCGGATTTTTTTTTAAGGCTGTTCTTTTATTTCAGAATAATAGATACGTACACAGGAGTGGAAACAGCACAAACAGAGGGACGGTGAGTAACCAACCTCACGATCAGTCCCTTTTGAGGATTCCCGAAGCAGACTCGCCTCGCCCCCCCCCCGTTTTCTTTCAGAGACCACAACTCCAATCTCTCATCGTGGGGGGGGGGGCGAGGAGCGCAAGGCGACCGGAAGCTCCTGCATACCCCAACCTGAGGAAGGGAGGGGGGAGGGAGAAGAGGCTGCAAGACCCTGACCCACTCGCTTGCGTCTCCCCTCCGTAAGCCGCGCAGAGGCGGCGGCAAGCAGGACAAGGTGGGAGGCTCCCTCCCTTCTCCGGGTTGGAATCGGTGAGGTGAAGTCTCTCCCTCCACTCTGGAAAACCGGGGAAGGTGGGGGTCGGAGAGAGAAGCGGCGACGGCGGGAATGAGGAGGGGGGAAATGGGGAGGGGGGAGCACTGCAGTGAATGCGGGGCCGCAGCAGGGCACTCACCGTCTCTCTCTGCCCGTTCTCACAGCAATAGCCAGCAGCACCGTCCTTCTCTTCACATCTTCACACAGCCGCCGCCGCCGCTCAGCCCCTCCCCTTTCTGTGTCTGTTGGGCTCGTGCCAACCGGGTCCGTTTGGGTTTGAAGTTCGAACTCTCAATAGCCGCCCCCCTCGCGGACAGGCGCTCGTGAGAATTCGGGGGGGGGAGGAGAAGGAGGCAGGGATGATCCGTGAGAGAGAGTGGGGGCGGGGGGGGGAGAAGGGGCCGGTAGAGAGAAACTGCGAAGGAGAGAAAACGCGGAGCTTCCCCCGCACAAAGCTTCACAATAGACACGCAGCGGCGCGCGCGTGTGTGTATGTGTGTGTGTCGAAGGCGGGGCTTCTCCGCCGGCTCCAGCACTCTCTCCTGGAACGGGGGTGGAGGATGGTAAAGGGGTGGGGGGAGGTGGAGGTGTTGTTTACGCAACCACCTGACTGGCGTCCTCGACAGATCCCTTGACACACATTGGAAAGGGAGTCGGGAGACACCACCATCATCCGGCTCCCCTGCCTCGCCACCCCCCAGCACGATGTCGGGTGGTACAGGCTACTTTTGTTCTCTTGAGGGGGGGAGGATGATGGAGGAGGCACCAGAATTATTGCGGCGTTTACTCAAGCCGGCTTGTCGCAGCCAATCAGAACGAAAGGAGGCGGAGCTGGAGGCTGTTCCGACGCACTTATATACGAATTCTTTCCAGCATTTAGCCCTGCTTATTCGAGAAAAATATTTTTCATGGCCCAGGGTCATCCTATATATTTTGTGTCCGCCTCCATTTTCCTTTTGAGACGTGTTTGACTGGAAGCGAAAAGTGCTGAGGAGCCAGTACTTGATAGCGCAGGCTCTGGAACATTTATCACTGAAGTTTTCTTAAAGCTTATGGGACGTCTCTAGTCTAGGATGCACAAAGGAAGTGAGGCTGCAGTCCTATTACACTCAGGAGCCAACCTTATCCAGCACACCTGACGGATTTCTGAGTAAACATAATAGGATTGGATTGCAGTTTGCGTGTGTTTATCGAAAGACAGTACAGTATTACTAAATTCAGCGAAGCTTAACTGTTTAGTAAGGCTGCAAGTGAACTAAGCACACTTACGTAAAAAGTAAATTATGGAAATTAATGGGACCTGCTTCTGAATAAGCATGCGTGGGATTAGGCTACAATACACTTAAAATGCACGATTCAGAAATAAGCCTCATTGAGTTCCGTGGAATCTACCTGAAGGTGAGTTAACCTGGGACTAACCCAGTGCCAAGAACCCTACTTACCGGGGAAGAAATTGTCTTACTTCTGAGTAGCTGTGGTTATGATTGCGCTGCATTTCAGTGGCGCTTACTTAAAAGTAAACATGCATATAAAGCTTGTTGTTTGCTTTAAAGAGCCCTACTTGTTAATGCAATGTGAAATCAAGTGCTTTGCAGGCTACAGGATAATAAAACAAATGACACCGCATGGTTGTCGGTATGCAGTGGTTCCTCCCGAGTGCCGCAAGAATGAGCCAATGCATTGCTTGATACGTAGTTTGTCCTCGTAATGGACATGTAGCCTTTTAAACAACTTGCATGGCTCTAGGCAGCGCAATCCTATACGCCATTTCTAGGGAGCAAGTCCCACTGATTTCAATAGGATTTCTACTCAGAAGTAAGTCCAATTCAGTGGGGCTTACTTCTGGGTAGGTGGTGGAGTTGCAGCCTAGGGCTTCGTGAATCTGCTCTTCTGGGGCTACTTGAGAAAACAAGCTTTGTTTACTGGTGGTGGGAAATAAGTGTTAAGTGTCACAGAATATTTGTGGAAGGGGCAACGATGGGGCACTGCGTCTCTGCAGCCATTTTATGGCAGGCCATAACATTCCTTCTCACATACTTGCAGCTGCCGCACCTCTGCTTATTTACTCGGAAGTCCTACTGAAGCGTTCTCCCAAATAAATGTGCATCAGGGAGCCGCTTTATACGGCCCAGTTCAGCGACGAAAAAGCTTTCATGTTTGGCTCTGGGTCGGCATGTCGGTTGCATGCTGGGATTTGTATACTTGCTGGAAGTCCTGCGCCATGTAATCTTAAAACCAATCTTGGAATGAATGATGCCTACGGCGAAGACTTCTTGACGGATGCTTTTAAAATTAGAGCAATTTTCTAAAAGCAATTTTGCGATTTAAAACTGGGCAAAGTCATGGAGCGAGCGCATTATTCCCGACAGGGAAAGGGAGCTGTTTTGTACAGCTGCCAGGACCCGCCGGGTGCTCCTCGTGGCTCCTCCCTTCTGCCGATGGTCTACTTCCGTTCTGCTAAGATGTCGGCCGCCATAGCAGCGCTCGCTTCGTACGGCGTCTCGGACTCCGATTCCGACTCGGAAGCGGAGGGCAGGCCCGGCCATTCGGTGGCTCCCGTCGCCGACGAGGATGCGGTGCTGCACCTCGCCTCGTCTGCCCCGGCCCAGCAAGCGCTGCTGCCCGTCGTGGACTCGGCCCCGGCGGTGGCTGTCAAGGTAGGAGCTGCTCCGGAGTCGCCCGCCTGGGGCCCCGGGGCGGGTGGGGGCAAGGAAGCGCTGCCTCCTCGCTCATACGTGGTCCGAGGAGGTCGCCCAGAAACGGCGGCTGCGGTGCTGGCACTCGCTCTCGCCCCGAGGTGAAGTCACTTCATCCTGCTCCGAGCCGGGCAGCTTCTCCCCGGGGGTCACCTATGCCGCGAAGGTTTCTCATTGGCGCACGAGGGTTGGAGCCAGTTTTTCTAGAATAATTCCTCTGACTTCTATGCAGGACGGGCAGAAAGTCAACAGGGAGAGCTTTCTCGCCGTGGAGGGAGAGTGCTGGCAGACGAGTTCTCGCCTCTTGGAAGCCTGCCTGTTCCTTTAAACTTTAAAGCTTTAGGAGAACTCTTAAGGCGGAGAAGGGACATGGGGTTTACAAACTTAAGGCTCAAAAATACTTGGGTGTTTTGACTGAGAGAGGGTAAGGTGGCCTATTTGGTATTCCTTAACGGGAAAGCGATCTCTAAAGGGTAGTGTGTCATATTTTTGCGCTGCTGCATCTTGGTCTGACCCATATTTCAAACTTTTGCTATGAATAAACTTTGTTTATAAACTTTGTTTATGGGTTTCCCTTGCCCCTACTCAGAGTCTGAGTGGGGAAACCACCAAGGTTAGGCACCTTGCAGTGCAGGGACTTGAAAAGAAAACATCACTTTTTTCTGTTGATTGGATCCCAGGCTAATATTTGCTCTGCTAGATTTTAAGGAACTAAGCTCATACCATTGATATGCTGATTATGCTAGGCTCTAATGCTAGGTGTGATTCCACTCCCTTTATACCTAAGGGGAGCTTACCTGCTTCATTCTGTACAGCAGAGATGGCTGACCTGTGACCCTGCAGGTGTTGCTCAGCTCCAGCTCCCAACATCCCTGACTAGTTGCTGTGCTGGCTGATGTCAATAGAAGCTGGAGTCCAGCTACATCTGGATGGCAGAAGGTGAGACAGCCCTGTTGTACAATATTCTTCACATCTCGCTAGGATCCATTTAGGCTGTCTTATTAATGCTGTCTCATGTATGTGAAACTTTAAGCGTATTCTGTTGTAGTAGAACAGGCTAGGCGTCTATAAATTGCTTCCTCCTGTTTCCACTTTAATCATCTATGCTTCACAGTAACCTCCAATTCCATGAGATTAAAGACCATTAAAACAACAATAACCCAATGATGATTGCAATAGCTCTTGTTTGTGTTCCCCAGCAATTGATATTCAGAGGCAGTTTGCTTTCAATTCCTTTTGTAATAATCCTTAATATGGAAACAAAACAAAAAAATTCTTCCATTAGCACCTTAGAGACCAGCTAAGTTTGTTATTGGTATGAGCTTTCATGTGCATGCACACTTCTTCAGATACCTTAATATGGAATTTGTCTTTTCTTAGCTGCCACACACCGGGTCATCATTTTCTCTGTACTACTTATCGCAATTCCAAAGTCCTTCTGAGAAGTTAAATGCTAGTATAGGGTGGACCAGGACTGGGCATGAAATAAAACTGAGTATGGTTATTAGGCTGGGCTGTTAAGATCTGGTCTCTACTTCATCCTCTCAGCAATTCCTTTTGCTACCCTTGTGAAAAACAAGGAGACCCTCACACGGATCTCTCACCTCCCCTACAGATGTGCTTTTCTTGCCTGTCTTAATCAATGGCAGGTCTTAAGCAATGCTGCTGGTTGAACTAGCAGATCAGTAGAGAAGCAAAAGACTCAACCTTTTTCCTGCTTCTCTCTCTCTGCCATAGCTGCATCATTCTTCCAAAGTTCAGCAGTCAACCACTTGAGAGAAGGAAGTTGGCAGTCTTCCCAGAAGCAGTTTTGGAGAACCAGTTGCCCAACCCCTTAAACATTGTCTAGTATCTATCTGCATAACCCTGTCCATCTCTTTGTCATGCCTGTGTGTGTCTAAAGCACATGGGACTCTTACATCTATGGCAATATAATTATTCATGAAATCATGTAGCTGTTTTTAGGTTGTGAGAGTGAGGACTCCTTTTAGTCTTCCTGCTCTTGCTTATCTCAGCCCTTTCTTTTACCCCCACTGTAGTCTACTAACTGCTCCAACATCTTTTGTCTAGGTAAAATCCTGTAATGTTTCCTTTGGTGCTAGTTTTGAACAGTGTTCAGCAATTTGGTGACTACACAGTCATAATAATTTATCTTGTAAGCATCAGCTATAAATTTTCACTGCCAAAAGGCAGTGAACAGCCAAGAAATGTACATAAGTAGTTCAATCCTGTGTCCAACAGGAAAGGTACATACTTTTTAGGAAGTAGACAACCCTTGGGTTTAAATTGCGTAACAGAAATGTTTGCTTCCGATTCTGAAACTTGCATAGAGGCAGAAGTCTGATTTGCAATGGTTAATTCATAGTAAGGAAGATTTATTATGAGCAGTGTTGCAATTGTTTAGGTTGTATGATTCTAATTAAGTAATTCAAGTTTTTTAAAGCTTTTTTTGTGTACTTCATCATCGTAATAGAGAAGAATACCTTCCCATTTTAAGATTGTTATGTTCATGATACTAATCAGAGAGCAATTTGGAATAATTCTTTTTGTTGCAGTGCATTGAATAAGATTCCACATAGTAGCTATGGATATTTTTCAGTTAAATTTTACTTAGATACACTGAAATTTATTCAATTTACTTAAGTTTGATTAATTTCAATGGATCTACTTTTAGAAAAACTGAGTTGACTGTCACCCTGTTTTTCTCAAGAATGGCCCTATTTGCACATCTTGGGAAGAGCATTGCTTGGCTTCATGTGTGGCTTGCTTGGAGTGAACAAACCATAACTCCTAGTTTGGCTACAACGCTAAGCCACATGTCATTGTTGCTTTCACTTGTGCTACCAGAAGGATAAATTGGGAGCTTCCTGCACATTTACAGTTAAGCATTAGCTATTGTTTGTTGTGACATGTGAATGTAGTCATTACATCTGTTTTGTTTGGTTGTCCTGTTCGCTTATGTATATGTGTGCGTATAGAGCTATATAGATACATTGTGTGTGTGTGTGTGTGTGTGTGTGTGTACGCACACACACACACAAACACGCACATACAGACAATCCCTCCTAGAATTGTAGCTGTCCATGGGCAGGACCTGGTGTCTATGTAGAAATAATATGTTTGGTAGACTTTTCCAAACTCTGGCATTGTTTGCAAAAGTAGATTAAAATAAATTCTGAGGATGTGTTATTCTACACATTATTTTAATGTTAATACGTTTAAAAATTTTTATAATACGTTTTTCAAATTCTTACTGACTTTCTATACAGCCTTTGTAGTGTCCATGAAAAATTCACTGACTTGAAATGTGTTGAACTTAGAAAACATTTCCAATGTACCCCTTTTGTTGCTCCTACTATGCTATTACATGCTGCATCAGGTGTTTGACAATAAGTTGTAGTATAGTATTCCAGAAATTCACTTCTAAATTCCCATATGACCACAGTTACACCATAAATTGAGTGTGATGTTTTGTTTCATTGTTTGATTGTGAGTGTTGCTTATTCTTTGAGGAATTGCATGCATTTTTGTCAGCTTTAATTCAACGGGAGGGTAGGAGTAGGTGTTTTGCCTGTAGGAGGGCCCAGTTCTGAGTCATTCCAAATTTTCTTCCATGTAATGAGTATTGAGCAGTGCCGATGACATTTTCTTAGCTTTTAAAATGTTCTCCTGGGCCCCAAAACTTTGGGCACCCCTGAAAAT